CAAAAGCAACATCAGTTTACCAGACAACAGAAAACTCTTTGTATCGCAACACATCTACAAATGCAATTAAGGCAAATTTAAAAATATGCCAGTATATTAAACAGACAACTACTCTTTTTTACAAATTCAAGAAAAAACTTCATAGACAAATTTAAACAAGCACTGAATAGATCATAACCCCACACACATAGACACACGGCATGCACACATGATGGCCAGATACACTAGTCGTACCGCACACATACATACATGTACGCACGTGCAAAGTATCCATGGAGAACAAAATATATATATATATATATATATATATATATATATATATATATATATATATATACCTACACTGGCAAAAACAGATAGACTACTCATGGGTACACACATGAGACCTACGCAATACAAGAAAAATGTGTATGTGTGTGTGTGTGGGTTATGTGTGTGGGTATATAGGTATATATGTGTGTATATATATATATATATATATATATATATATATATATATATATTTATATATATGTATGTGTGTGTGTGTGCATTTGTATGATGAGACAGTATGTATATATGGGGGAATATACATGTGCAAGCTACGGGGACACGCATGCACACAGTATACACAAAAATGGAAATAAATTTGACAGTCTGAAGGGTAATGTAGAATAGGAAAACATCTATCATCAACACATCTATCATCAACACATCTATCATCATCACAACTCAGACGAAAGCTAATGATTTTATTACAAACTTAGGCAGAAATTCAATTTTGCTAACAATCCATAAACGAGATCAAGGCTCACTACAAATACAGAAAATGAATAATGAAACATTAAAAGAACATAAAGAAAATGTATTCCTTTAAAATTGTATTCCTTTTATTTGCTTGGAGAAGGTTACGAGACCGGAAACACGTGTAACAGAAATATGAAGAGTAAAATATAATATATATACTAAAACAAATCCATCCACATTATAACTAAAAACGTTTGCGCTTTTTGTCCTTTTTTTTTTCAAATATACATTTTTCTCTCGTTGGAAAAACTATAACGTTTTCCATATATATATATATATATATATATATATATATATATATATATATATATTTATATTTTCGCGCATGCGTAAGACAGAAAAGATGGACATTCATACTAGAATACTAGGATAACGCTCGGCCAGAGAGAATATTGCGGACATGTCGGGCCGGTTAACCTTTTATGATTTGTTTGAAATAACGAAAAACAAATCTGCTAAAATGATATTTGTTTACGCACTTAATAGAATAGAGGAGAAGCGCCGATCAAAGTCGGTGTGTCGTCGTTTCTGGTGAACGCAGACAAACGCCTGGCTCATTGACGTACACATTTCGCATAAATAGTCAACAGGGATTTTGTGTGAACTTGGCTCTGTGAGATTAACCTCGGAGTTCAGTTTAGGTTAACAGGGTCTTTTAAAAACACACACAGTTGGCCATTTCTAGCCTTATGAAACGCCTTCATATATTTATTCCTATAAGCAACGTACTTCCACGAAACTTCTCCTTTGCATTGAAGCGACATCAGATTCCACTGAAGAATTCGACTCCGCATCCCGAATGATTGATATTTCTAGGATTAGATTCCCAAATACGATCGTTCAAACCACGTACACAGAGTTGAATCATCCTCATCTCCTTTTATTCCGTTGTTAAGAGGGAATATCGATTAGGATAGCTTCGTCTCTGGAAGCGCTACTTTGCAGAACATACACCTTAGAGGATTCCTCTCCAATAATTGCCATCATAACGTCGTTAATTTTAGCACCAGCCGTACAATAACATCATTCATTAATCCTCTTCATTGAGAGGCTCCTGGGCTTTGTATTGGATAGACAAAAATAAAAAGCGAACCTATTCATTCTAACACGCGTTAAGGGAAACACTAAAGTTGTAAGCGGGAAACTGTCAAATGAATTAGCAAATCTTAAGTGTTTTACTAAATGAGTTCTGTTTATTATCTGTCTATATTTCTGAGATGAGGTATTATGTACACTATTTACATTATTCGGACTATTGTCCTCATCTTTGTCGCTATATTTATTACAATTATTTATTGGTAAAAAATGCAATGACATCAGAAAAATTGCTATATGAGCACTGCTAAAAAATGGTTGCTGAAGACATTAGGTTTATAATACTCAGAAATTCATACATAGATGTCCTCAAGAACGCATGACACAGTGAATAAAGGCCTTGGTTAGATCCGGTGACAGGACCCAAAGAGTGTGAGTTCAATACGTGGTTAAGGCAGTGGAGAACTTTCAGAGGGAAATTAACAGGGGATAAATGATAACTAACATCCATTCAAACAGTGAGCGTATAAATAAATAAGTAAAGGGTTCAGTTTGTTGTAATAAATATGGCAACAACGATGAGCATAAGGATATGCAGGATAAATAACAATTCTCCCTGGACTAGTGCTTAAGATTGTAGTGGGGTTTGAAATGTATCCTCGTGGTAGTTTTTCCAAAAATGGGCCGTTTCTTGGATCTAAGTGGAACATTTTTTTTTTTTTACTAATGGGATACCGGAGCAATAAGGCTGATTCAAATCTATGGACGTAGTAAGTTGGGACTTATCTGTAGGGTCTGAGGTGATGGTCCTGAAGAATGAAGAACTCATCTGAACATTTAGGATAGAAGTAGCAACAGACTAGAGAGAGAGGAAAGGAGATGAAATGGGAAAATTCTCTCATTTGGTGCGTCAGAATATTTATTCAGTAGCATCTATCTTTTCTTGGAGAAATTCTTTCATGTGGCACCTCAGAATATTTTTTCCAGTAACCTCCATCTGTTCCTCGGGAAATTGTTTCATTTGGCGCTTAAAAATATTTTTTCAATAACTTCTATATTTTCTTTGGGAAATTGTTTCATCATAAACCTCAGAATACTTTTCATTCACTTCTATCTTTTCTGGGAGAAATTCTTTCATTTGAGGTATCGGGATATTGTTTCAGTAACGTCTATCTTTTCTAGGGAAAATTTATTCATTAGAGGCAGAATATTTCTTTTCGGTAGCCTTCATCTTTCTCGGTGAAATTGTTTTATTTGGGGCATCAGTATATTTTTCAGTAACCAGTATACTTTCTTTCATTGGCGACACCAGAATATTTTTTCAGTAACCTCTACATTTTCTCGGCAAATTTGTTACAAGTTCCACCTCAAAATATTTTTTTCAGTAGCCTTTAACTTTTCGAAGGAAAATTGTTTCATTTGGCGTTTCAGAATATTTTTTCAGCAACCGCCATCATTTCTTGGGGAAATTGTTTCTTTTGATGCATCGGAATATTTTTTCAGTAACCACTATCTTTTCTTGGGTAAAATGTTTAATATTTTGTTCATTTGTTTTGTCTTGTAATAAGGAATGTATATCAGAACTACAACTTGATTTTTTTAATCATTTCACCCTAAGAAAAAAGATAATGTCACTAGGATGGAAGTGGTTACTGGGAGTGAAAAAGAACGAGGAGAAATTATTGAGTCGAAGTGAAAGGAAAAGACAATCAAAGATACAGTTTCCTGAAGGCAGAAGATGATAAATGACTTTGCTTTTAAATTTTGAAGGTTATATGTGGCAAGGAAAAAAGAAATCGAAAGTGAGTTCCACCGTCAAGTAGTGCGAGAAAAGTTAGAATGGAATATACGGTTGCCTCAAGCTAATTCAATATTAAAACGATGAGACTAGTTGCCAATCGAGTAGTACGCTTAAATTCATGCAGTCGACGAATGACAAACTATTGAATTATTTCCATGAAAGCATTTGCACAAAATACAGTAGGAAACCCGTTACGTTGAGATACCAAGTGAGGATCGATGCATTACGGACCCCTTCTTTGAATTTTGTCAAAAATCTCGAGATATCAAAGAAGATCACCAGACAAGATATGTCAGCAATATTCAATGTACAAACGGATAGTAGAGTTATAAATGTACAAGATGGATTCTAACGAGAAGAATTGTCTGGCATGAGGCAAAGAGCGAACTTTTCTGGCAGTAGACCAAGCAGCTGGCAGTGAAAAACGTGAGACCAAGAAATCGCAAAGTATTGCTCTCCTGGGGGTTAGCATCAGCCATGCCTATGGAAGGCAGAAAAAAGGTCTCTGTGGTGATTAAGCGGTTTTGTTTCGGAGGCGTTAAATTTTACAAACCATTCCTTGCCCTAATTAACTAATAACTGGAGATCCTTTTCGAGGGCAGTTACACGATCTGCTTCCTCGGATCTGTCGGACTTGTTACTTAGAGGAAAATTGTTATGTCATTTGCATAAATTCCTAGTTGATATTTTTTTTTTAATTATTTTCCCGGGGAACGTCGAGTGTCTCTTCTACATACAGTATTCCCTGCCACATAACGTTTCCTACAAAGTCGTGTCAGTGATATTCTTGCAAGATGTAAGTTTGGATAAGTCACCTGAAGCCATAGATTTACTCAAAAAGCGAGAATGATCGTTGTATTCGGAAGTAACTGAGATCTCCCGCCCCTGTTAAGGATGGAACAGTCGACTCTAGATATAAGCAGTTAATTTTTCCCCATATGCATTAATAAAGTGAAATAAAGATTATCTTTAAGTTTATTAGGGCTTTCTGGTTTCACTACAAAGGTATAGTGTTATTTTTGTAGTTTAGTGTTGTTTTGGTGGGTATTTTTTCGACCGAAACCTGTTGGATATAAAACAAACGTTATTATCGTGTGAGCTACGACCGAACTGTCATGGCTGGACACTTGTGTTGTTGTGTGAAAAGTTCACTGTATGTCAGAGAGTATTACGTATTCATCGACTTGGCTTCATTGAAAGAAACGGCAGATCAGCCGTTCGCTCATCAGTCGAAAACTCAGCTCGTAGATGTCGAAGATAATTTGGTGGCCCGCATCCGATGGGAGAGAGGAAAAAAGAAAATGTTTGAAGTTAAAGAATCCGTTATCGGTTCTTTAAGGTCATCCTTAGATAAAGAGTGATAAATAAAATCGGATATTTACATCGGGAGATTGTAAGAGAAATGAACTCGGGATTTGAAAGAAAAGAATTGTTCGTGGAGGAGGAAAGGCACTCGAGATAAAGATGAAGATAAAGACTTTGAGATTGAGAGATATAAAGAGAAATGAGATTGGAAAAGAACTGAAAAGAAATGATAGACAACAGGAGTTTGAAGAAATGAAATAAGATATTGGAAATGAAAGGAACAGGTAGTGGGAAAATAAACAGATTCCAGATTCAGATGCTAGAGAAGTCGACAGGAAACCGAAAGGGTTAAGAAATAAAAGTGATATTTGAAGATGGATAGAAACATAAAATTAAAGAGAGGAAAACATGGCTACATAGATAGATAGATAGATAGATAGATAGATAGATAGATAGATACAAACATGAATACAGCCGAGATAGATAGATAGGTAGTCCTTAGATAGATTTGTAGTCCTTTTCCTTTAAGAATTACGTAAAGGAAAGGACTATCAATGATGATTTTCAGAGCAGTAACGCTCTATTCCCATGAGGCAATACAATCTTCCTCAACCTCTAAATAGATAGGTGTGGTCAAATTGATTTATGAAGAGACTTCTACCCAGATAGATAGATACATATGAACAAACTGAGATAGATAGATAGATAGATAGATAGATAGATAGGTAGATAGATAGATAGATAGATAGATAGATAGATAATGAACACAACTCTGGGAAAATTTAAATCTGCATTGCACTTTACTCCAATTGACTCATTCGCTTGCTTAAACCCAACGTTGATTCTGATTCTGCAGAACTGGGTTGGGTCTGAGAAAGTATTTGTTGTTAACATTCTTTTTTCATTCGGTTTTTCCAGTTACGAGTCCTTTTTTAAAGCTGATTGTTTTGTGTTCATTTTGTTTAGTTCTTTTTTCGTAACAGATTTAACGTTTAGTATAGAGCTTAGAAAAAATTCGCAGTGTGAGATAGGCAAGAAGTAAGGCATGTAGCAACATCAGCACAGCAAAGGGCACTCCTTTAAAGGCAAGGAAGGGCAAAAATATTTTAAGTCAAGTGATAGCAATTGCTGTATGAGTCGTACGATTTTTTAATCAAGCACGGGCAACGTCGGGCCATGCTGCTAGTATAATATAAACTTTGAATAAATAAATTAATAAAATTAAATAAAAATTTCAAGAAATAAAAAATTGATAAATAAATAAACGAATATTAAATATACACATCTATACATATTAGAGTGTGTATAGTGGTCTCTCCCGTCATTTACCGACGTATGAGGGTCAAGCGGCTCAATTCCAAGAAACCGACAGCCAGATACTGAAAGGCCGAATAGTGTACATAATACCTCATCTCAGAAATATAGACTGATACTGAAAGGCCGGAACGTTGTAATAAATATGGCGACAAAGATGAGGACAATAGTCCGAATAATGTAAATAGTGTACATAATACCTCATCTCAGAAATATAGACAGATACTGAAAGGCCGGAACGTTGTAATAAATATGGCGACAAAGATGAGGACAATAGTCCGAATAATGTAAATAGTGTACATAATACCTTATCTCAGAAATATAGACAGATAATGAAAGGCTGAAACGTTGTAATAAATATGGCGACAAAGATGAGGACAATAGTCCGAATAATGTAAATAGTGTACATAACACCTCATCTCAGAAATACAGACAGATACTGAAAGGCTGAAACGTTGTAATAAATATGGCGACAAAGATGAGGATAATAGTCCGAATAATGTAAATAGTGTACATAATACCTCATCTCAAAAATATAGACAGATACTGAAAGGCCGGAACGTTGTAATAAATATGGCGACAAAGATGAGGACAATAGTCCGAATAATGTAAATAGTGTACATAATACCTCATCTCAGAAATATAGATATATACTAAAGTATTTCTGGTATTTTTTACACTTACATAGTGCTTTAACCCCAGTTTGGGGGCTAACTATTTACCCATAGTTGGGACCCTAACAGTGCTACCACCCCGGATCAGGGTGGACCTAGGAACATCAGCAATTAAGAGTTGATTCCACACTCCTCAAAAGCTCCCGATAAGAAAGAATTTGTGCAAACTAAAACAATGAAAAACGAACGAATGAATGAAGCAAGCAAGAAAAGAAAGAACGAAATGTAAGGATGATAAGGAAGAAAATCAGGAAGAAGGAAGAAAAGGAAGAAAGCATGATGTGCATACTGGAATAATGAAGGAAGGAAGGAAAACAGATTAATAAAAAGGAACAGAAAAAAGAAAAAAATATGCGTAATGGATGAATGAAGAAGGGGAATAAAGAATAAAAGATGATACAAATGAAAAAGGAAAGAGACAGGATTTAAGGAAAGAAGGAAGTAAGACAAAAGAAAGTAGAAACGGAAGAAAGAAATATAGATTTACAGGAGGAAACAATGAAAGTGAAGGAAATGAAAAAAAGAAAAGCCAAAAATAAAAGAGAAGATTCGTAGATTGAAACAATGAAGGCGGAATGAAGTAAGGAAGAAAGCTTAGTAGTAAGCGAAAGAAAAGAGAAGGAAGGAATAAAGGAAGGAAGAAAGCTTAGTAGTAAGCGAAAGAAAAGAGAAGGAAGGAATGAAGGAAGGAAGAAAGCTTAGTAGTAAGCGAAAGAAAAGAGAAGGAAGGAATGAAGGAAGAAAGCTTAGTAGTAAGCGAAAGAAAAGAGAAGGAAGGAATGAAGGAAGGAAGAAAGGAAAATGTGCAGACTGAAATAAGGAATGGATGAAAAGAAAGGGAGGAAGGAAGGAAGGAAGGAATGAGAAGGAACGAAATGGAAGAAAGGATTATATCTGCTAGTTACAAAAATAAAGAAGGGTGGTAGTAAATAAGGGTAAAAGAAACCGAAGGAAAATACGAAAGCAAGAAAGATGCGCACACTAAAACAATGAAGACAGGAGGATTTGTAGATTGTAATAATTAGGAAGGAAGGAAGGAAGGAAGGAAGGAAGGAACGAACGAACGAACGAACGAACGAACGAACGAACGAACGAACGAACGGACGAATGAATGAAAAGAAGCGGGAAGATTAATAGACTGGAACAATGAGTGAGGAATAAAGAGGAAGAATGGACAAAGAAAGAATAGAGAAATGGAAGGAGAAAATGCTAATTGGAACAATGAAAATGGAGACAAGGAAGGAAGAGAAAGAAAGAAAACAGGAAGAAGAAATAGAAAGAAGGTATGAATAGTGGACAATAGAGGAAGTAAGAAAGGTTGGAGAAAGGAATTAAAGAAAATTATCGTAATAATTTAAAGAAGTAAAAAGAAATGTCCAAAATTGTCGATAATTAACTCCCTTAGAAAGGCTGAGGAGGAGTCTGTTTGGTTAAACATCGAAAATAGAAAAAAAAAATGGAACTAAAAGGAAAAGAAAGTCGGATCGAAAGCCGAATTAAGCAAGATGGCGAAAACAAGAATGCCAGACACAAAGTTTCAAAAGAAACGTAAAAAAAAAGAGAACATTACAGATGCAATGAGAGAGAGAAGGGAAAGGAACGATTTATGGCGTTGTCTATTTTATTAGTAAACAGTTTGATTAGCTTAAATAAATTAACTGCTGCAATTAGTGTCTTAAAAGTGACATTGATTGCCGGAAAGATCATTAACTGAAACCTCGTAGAGTTTTTTTTCGTCTTTCTAAAAGATCTCATTTCGCATTCTTTCCCATTTCAAGCTGTTTTGATTCAGTAGTCAAAAGCTGTTATTTTCTTATCTCTAAATGTCATAAAGGAACCTCCTTAAATCATATTCCTTTTCAAACAATTGAAAGACAGCAATAATTTCCATAAGACAATAATTTTAATAAAAATATGCGTGAGTTAGTAAAGCCAAACTTTGCGACATCTGATTGTTTTTGCTGTTGTTCTTTTTATTAATTCTGACCCAATATAGGCCCAAGATCCACTCAAAGTAGAGGATTACAAAAGACTGTTGTTATATGAGCGGTAAGACTAATAGGCAAGAGGCGCACTTTAGGAGGATATACGGAAAGGGTAAAGGTTAACCCTAGACTTGGAGAGCGATCGAGGAAGCATCCTCTTGACGGTTGCTTCCACAAAGTAGAGTTTCGACAAAGTTGAACTTTCTTACTAAGAAATTTAGCTGTGATGTAACACTATTGTGTCACTGGAAGTGCGAAATTAGGATTAAAAGGGTTCATGTGAAAATACCGTATAAGAAAATGGAGATTTGGAAGGGCTAAAAGCGTTAAAATGGTTAAGGTGAAAATATGAATTGAAATATGAACCGAAGGAAAAAAGAGAGATATTTTCTGATAAACAGGCAAATTGAATTATTATTTGCAATGCCAGTAATTTAAGTAATCTGACATTTGATGTAAGCCGAAAATATTGCAAGGCAGAAATGTAAACACTCCGGAATGTGCAGAAAATTATTTCGGTCATATTGAAAAGTAGGCAATAATGACAATTGTTTGACGGAAGAAATAATTTTAAAAACGCAAAAGTTGTTATCGGAAAAAATTATTTTTTTGAATAGGTGACTGCTTTTATTTGAGATTTAGTGTCAGTTCTCCAAGTGTTGAGAAGCGAATTGAGTTATTATTCGTAAAGCCAAAATGTAAACACTGAGAATTTATATCGGTTATTTTGAAAGTCTTCAGCAAAAGGAATTCTTTGACGTCAGAGAAAACAGTGAAAATTTTTAAACGAAAGTTTGTTAACGAAAAAATTATTGTCTTGGATAAGCGGCCAATTGTCAAAGGGAATGTTAAATTAAGTTTGTTTGTCAAGGAATGTATTTTTGGTGAATAGCTGACCGCTTTGTTTGTGGGTTGGTGTCGTATCTCCAAGGTTGGAGAAAATACTTAATTCATGAATAATTAATGAGTCCCAAGGTGCGGTAGGCATCAGGCGAAATACATATAAACCGAACGCTCAATTGAAGCCAGCTGTTAGAGCGAGGGACGCAGACTAGACGAGACAGCAGCGGTGGAGCAGCTGCTGAACCCCACGTGACCTGCTGCTGATAGAATTCCCGAACGACTTGTTTGATTGTGTATATTTTTAACCACTCCAAGTTCTAGAAGAAAGAGACGCAGTGTCACGATAGAGAGTTTAACGGGAACGGTTAATTTTGTTGCATCAACGACTATATAAACCAATTGAAAATTAATCCAATGACCTTCTTCATTTGTTATGTTATTTGTATTTTCACCAGCGGAAAATTTCTTTGCCCTTTCACAGCACGGTTCCGCTCCAGTTCAGCGTTTAAGTACGGACGAAAATTTGATCTTCACCGCTATGTGATCAAAAACATAGCGTAGTGCAGAGTAAATGAAAGAACGAAGTGGTCAGCAGATAGCCATCAGTTGACCGTCAGCAGTAATGACCAATGTGGGAAGGACTCCGGATCGAGCCGGACCGATCGCGTTAGAGTGAGCCATCGAAATAGTAGTAGAATAGCTCGAGGTAGCGACGTTTTGTCCGTGGGAAAGGTGTTGTACGGTTGAGAACTAATTCACTATCCACAAGGCCGCCTATACACTTCTTTTATAAAGTTCGTATACCGCTTGTAGTTGCTGGTTAGTAAGACTGCAAGGAAAACACTGAAAACAAAATGTCGAGAGATCAAGGGATTAATCCTATAAGAAGATAGATTAAGAATACAGTGGTTCAGTACAACTGAAATTGCTATGCCTTAGTGGCTCATTTTTTACCCACTGTTCCATGCTGTGTTCTATTTATAGTGTATGGTTCAATAATAGTAAAGAAAATGTGATACTGTCTTATTACGCAACAGACTCTGTCAGGAAAGGAAAATGTAGGCCTGGCAGCTCCTGTTCAGATATGACAGCTTCACTTTGTTTTCGGCATGATTTATATCCTGTAAACATAGAACCCACCTGGGGGAGTCAGGTATTTACTGGTGCGGTACAGGAAACCGACCATTTTTACGGGATTTTTAGTGATGAATCGTATATACGAGTTCTACCTGCCTTCTTCGAGGCAATAGGTCCCATTAATACTAGGCATGTTCATTGCTATAAACGGAAATCTGGGGTCTGCTCGGTGATTAGCGAACGTTACCAATTTGGTTTTTGAGGTATTAAATGTGACCAGCCAGTTTTTCCAACCAAAGAAACTGTTAAAATTTGGTCAAAACTGTCATGCACTGGTCAGCTAGATACAGCAGATTTCCTCATATCCGGAATCCCTTATATATGGAGTGCCTTATATCCGGAGCCCCGCATATCCGGACATGATTTTGATGTGTATATTTAAACTATTTGGGTGATTTGAAATTTCTGTTTTTCAGGAAATTTACTTTGGATAATTGCTTATGTCTGTTTCATCCTAATGGCTTGTATTGGTGCAAAGGATGATGGGAATAAGAGGAAAAGAACAACTTTGGAGTTATCGCAAAAAGTGGAAATTTTAAGCAGACTAGACGTTGGTGAAAGTTCATTGTAACGAATGGCTGAGTTCAACATAGGAAAGTCAACATTGTATGAAACTATTCTACGGCGTTCACACTGTCACAATGAACAAAGAAATAAAAAACATGATTGTGATGAAACCTGGACTGAAACTGAAAAAGCTATTGAACAAGTTGTCAGTTTTATGGAAAGAAAGGCAGCATTCAGCTCTGACGATTGCAATAACGAACGAGTTAAAAAAAATTTCGTTTAAAAAATTTCAAGAACAAAAGCCAAACGAAATGCGGAAAAAGTTGAGAATGACATTAGAAGAGAAAGAATCATCATGCAACAGAGATTAAAAAATCTTCGTTACATTATTTGTTTTGCATACGTGGCATAATTAATTTAATGAATTTTCATTAACATTACATAATTCATTTCTTTTTCCTTAAAATCAATTCCGCTATGTTTTATTCACCATTAGCTTATTTTGTTTACTATAAAACATTGAAAATAAATGTTAAACCTGATTTCAGTTCTTTTATTTTAATCTAAATATATGCCCTCATATCCGGACTTTGTAATCAATTTCTCATATCCGAAACACCTTCTTAGTCCGGTTATCTGGGATTCTACTGTATTTGGAGATGCACTCATATAACATTGAATCATTGTGAGCCGTCCCCATTGACCTTATGGGTCTTGGGGGACTAGCCATTAACAACTACTTTCATGGACCTACCTGTTAGGAAGAACTTGAGAAAATACTATGATTCTATAGCTGGAGAGTTGCA